TTAATAATCATTATTGTTGAACTTTGTTTTTGTTATTAATCGAATGTTCTTCCCGAGAACAATCATTCGTCCATTTGTTTACGTTTTATTCAGATAAAAAAAAAAATTGTTTCAAACGAAATCTAATTTATTAAAATTGTCGTTGGTTGTATACCCCCTAATTCATGAAGAAATCCATGGACTAGGATAATTTTTAATAATTTTAGTGTGCCGGTAGAGCCAGTAATCATACATGTCATACTAAATGGTGTTTTTCGGAACATTGTAGAAAAAAATTATTTTTTATAGACTGTTTTTAAATTATTAACAATTATTTTGGAACAACTTGTAAATTAGTAGATCAGTAAATCACGTATAAATATATATTTTACGGACAAATTAAATTTGTATGTATAATATACATCAACAGAAAGAGTTGGGCAGCAATTTAAAGAAAAATAACGTTTCCTTCTTAAAACTTTTAACAAAATACAAATCATACTAAAATACCGGGCTTCCAGTCTATAATCTAATATATGCATAAGTTATCAAATTTAATCAGTTAAATGGAGATAAATCATTTTCAATTTTCAATAATTTATCATAGCCACGAAATAATGCAAGATACATTGGTATTTTTATTTCTTCGCCCAACTCTGAAATCATGGTACCTATCACATTTTATCGTGGTTTTAAATACCATTCCATAAAAATATGCCAACAATTTTTAAATCGCACTGAATTCGTTTTRTTGAGGTTAAAAATGTATGAATATATAGGTGTAGTCTAAATAATATGTAAACAAACGAAATGCGTATTTTAACAATAATCACTTTTGGAATTATATTTTAATACGAGTTGTTTGTTCCTATTGTAGTATTATTATTATTATTATTATTATTATTATTATTATTATTATCATTATAATTATTATTATTTTTACTATAATGACTTGAGCCTGCCACATTTTTAATAAATCGTTCAATTTAATATATTAATTGCACCGAATGAAAAATAAGCAATCGATATAGTTAATAACATTCTCTAAGTTCTAGTAATACTAATAAGTATCGATATTTGATTGAGAAAATTAAATTTCTGAAAAACACCAACTAATAATTATTATATGTTCATGTAACAGTTAATATATGATATATACCTCTATATACTTATATGATAGAAATAATAATCAATACAATTTGTTTATAACAAAAAGGAACAGTAATCAGCATAATATTTTGTTAGAAAACTCATCTAAAAATATAACTTTAAAATATAAAAAGTTTTGCTTAACTTGTTTAATATTCACTTTGTTTCATAAATAAATTAAGATAAATAATGATTTTATAGAAAATATCAAATTCTAATAATGCGTATAAGTTCAACATACTATTGTTTTTTAAATAAATAATAATAAAAATTCTCTTGTCCTAAATTTAAATAATTTAAAAGCACTTGTTATGAGAAAAATATAAACAATTTGTTATAAAATTTGTATTCTATCTGTAATCTGTTCTATTTGATTCGTGTTTTCAACTATCAAAAATGTTATTTGCGTTTTATACTAACTAGAGCATAAACCAAATATTATTGATTACAATTATAAAATCACAGTATACGACAGGGTTAGTTTACTTAATTAATATTTTGGTCTATCGTCTATTTTTCATCATAATATCATGTTATTAATTACTAACAATATCTAGTAATCAATAAAATATTTTAATAATGTGTAGGAAAARTTCAAGCTTCATTATAATAAAAATAATATGTACTTTGGATAATCAACGAGGCTCAATGAATATGTTTGATTGTAGTTAATTTTAGTAAGAAAAAAATTAGTATTATAAAAGTTACCAGAGAACTCTTTTAGGTTTTAGGCGCGCAGTTATTGTGATAATAGCGTTATGATAAAATTAATATTGTTGACTTTTTTATTTATTCGCTCTAATCACCACTTCAGTCATTTAGGCGCTTACAAAAAATGAGATACGGTCGACATGATTTTAATTATAAATGTTAGTTATAATATGTTTATATAATTCGATATACACTTCATGGGGCCGGATCGACCAACATCAAATATTTTGCGACAGCCCTTTTTTATCTGATGTACAATATAAAATGCACTTAAATAGAGAAATTATTGTATTGATATTATTGTATAAACATTAAGAGGAAAACGTGTAGCTTTTACATCATATAGAAATGTTTTATTGTGATTAAATTGACCTGCTCGTACATAATATGTTGAATTTGAGGGAGTTGGTATCAAAAAACAATATTTTAAGCCTGTTACTAGATGTTTTTGTAAAAATATGCTTACATTATAATCATTAATGAAGCATCGCTAAGTCAATATTTTTTTCTTTATTGTTATTAATTATTATTATTATTAATATTATGAAATATATATTATGTGTATATAATTTCTTTAAAAAAAAAAAAAAAAAATGTTTTCGATAATTTTTAAATCGAAACCGTTTACATAGAATTTTCATTAAAAAACGGCTTTACTTTGATACTGACTCTTTCAACTATACTATTCGTTGTTGGTTATTCATTTTATTTTTGAATTGATCATTGATCAGTCGTCAAGATTGTTATTATCACTGCTGTACTAATATACCGATATGCAATCAATTTGTACGATTAAAACCACATATATTGTTATTTATTTATATAAAAGTTATCCTTATAAACATTAATTAAAAGTAATCGTAGATCRAAAATACATTTTTATCACTCCTGTATTTTTAAGCACCAATTTTGGTGGATACCAAAAGTTAAGCGAAGAAACTTTCTTATAGTGAAAGTTGACTGATAAACATTAGGAATACTACTAACTTTTTTTAAATCTATTTTAAACAAATACTTCATTAACATGAATGTTGGACAATTTTTCAAAATACTACTGTTTTTTGACAATATTTTCTTCTAATTCCTAAATGACATCATGTAGTAAATTGAGTAATATTTGGTTATAGTTTGCCAATTTTTTAATTTGAACTAAACCAAATAACTGACATGCTTTTATTTATTATTATTTATTTTTTATTATACATATATAATTGATCATATTGTTATTATTATAAGTGTATGTTTAAGACTGAATCATTTAGTAGATTTTTGATTAGATTCGTTTGTTTACATTGTTATTATACAGCTAATTATTATTATTATTTTATATCATTAACATTTGATTATTTTTAATTGGCTTAAATATTTTAAAGAAAATGTTGATATATGAGTTCTTTGGAAATGAAAATGTCCACGAGTTTATAAGATCGAGTTATTTGTGACCTAAAACGCTTTGTTGTATATTAATTATTATAATTATTGTCTTTTAGGGTGTGCCGATTGTTAATCAGTTTTTACAGAACTATGTGTGCATATATTATGTCGGGATGATAATACCTATTACACATTTTTCTTTTTCTTTATTTTATAAATAGTTACTCACTATACACATCAAAAAGTTCACGAGCAGTTATTGTTTATTGTCATTATAAATAATATATTGTAATGTGCTTTAAGAAAAAAAAATGTAATATTTTGTTAGTACCTACATCATGTATTATTATGTATGTTATTTCTATTCTTTATTCATTATTAGTATGATAATAATATTTAATGTGCCATAATTTTGTATGTTATTCAGTTGTTGGTAGTGATTTTGAGATAAAATTATAGTACAAACAAGGTTTTTTCAACTATATTATATAGAAATCCGGTGTTTTTAATCATGTGTTATTTTAATACAATATTTATTACCTTTTAATGATAATTTTTTTTCTTTAACGAATATATTTTAACATGATATATTGTTAACAATAATGGAATATTAACTCATGATTTTTTTAAAGTTATTTTTGTTTTAATAACTATAGTAGGTAAGTATCTACAGTAGTATACTCATAACTGTATGGATATGTTATATCTTAAATTTGATTTATTTTAGTATTATTTTTAAAACTATGGACATCCATTTACAGACAATATGTTTCAACGTCGGARGAAAAGAGKTATATTTTAGTATATTAAACAACTTCAACGATAATTGTAAAATAACGGTATAATATTATTAATATTGCTATAATTGTTACTGCGCAGTAAGCAGAATGATAACATTTTATCAGCTGTCCAAAATTTATATCTCACGATACGACATTTTGAAAATCAATACGTTTTACACAGTTCTGACATAACTTTAASACTGATGCTCTAGTTTTATTAAAATACACACGGTTCGAATTTCAAATGATTAAATYATCTTATTATTCAGAAAACGTACACCTTTGACTTTAATAATGAACAATATCATCCATTTGGAATAATTTGTAATGATGTTAAGATGTTTCATTAATCTGCCTTCGTCTTAATCATAGTTTATTTTTTGTTAATGTATGTAAAATCTTACAATGTTATATGGCAACAGTACCACGGTAACATTAATAAAATCGATAGATAAAAGTTGTAGAGTTATAAGTATGATTAATAACAATACATTATATGATATGTACCTATAGTCAAAATGAAATGTCTATATCTAAAGTCTTTATCAACTCAACGGCTTCTTTTTTAACATCACGCTGATACCATCGATATCCAGCCCGAACCTTCTATTTGAAGTTTGAACATACGTCTGTAATATGGCTCATA